TGTGAGGATCATTTTTATTTATTTGTGGTTGTGGCTTCAAAATATGGTTGTGTACATATCGTGTTGCCGCAGGTTCTTATTAATTGCCGAAACAATAGGAAGCTTCTTGGACGTGTCAGAGCCTTCGATCGCCACTGCAACATGGTTCTTGAAAATGTCAGGGAGATGTGGACTGAGGTGCTCTCTCCTTTTTTTTTTTTTTTGAAATAAAATGGAAGATTTACATACATACCACTGAATTGCTATGTATTTCAATGACAAATTTTATGAGATCACTTTTGACTCAATATTGTCATATGGGGCATTTACATGCATATCACCGAATTACTATATATTTACATTTTTAACATCTAAACTTCAAGTTTTACATACATACAACCTTATCTAAGTATAAAAATGCGCATTCTACCTTTTAAAAGTCAAAATAGTGATTTTTTTGGGGCAAGTATATACAGACCACCTGAAACACTATTATTTGCAAACCAATCACCCTCTTCATCCATTTTTCAAATTCTCATTCAAATATCAAAATTCATGATAAAACCCCAACCCATATTTTTCATTTTTATCAAATTTTCAATGGTTTGATTGAGGCGCGCGTAAATACACATGTTCAGCAGTTCAAAAATAGCTCCTGGTGCTAGTTTTTGTACATAGAAATGTTTCAATGTGATATGAAAGATTTGTGAGGCATAAATGTTAAAATTAAGATGCCCCCATTTTTAATAAACTTTCTCCTGATCTGGTTTCTGAATCAAATATGTCTGCAGGTACCAAAAACAGGGAAAGGAAAGAAGAAAGCATTGCCTGTGAACAAAGACAGGTTCATCAGTAAGATGTTCCTCCGCGGCGACTCTGTTATAATTGTTCTTAGAAATCCCAAGTGAGTAACAGAACGTCTTTCTTTCCATGCTCTGTTTCTTCTGTTTGGAAAAGACTTTGTGGACGCCCGTATAATCTTCATACTCTGACCTGCATTGGGATCTTATCCGTCAGTGTGATTCTCACAAAATTTTTATGTAATGTGGGTTGTTTATCTGATTTATGCATATTTTGATGCTAAATATCGTATAATTTTAGGAAGTTTTGCATACATGCTACTCATTTTTTTTTGAATTTACATATCTATCACCTAAACTTCATTTTTTACAGACATATCGTAAAATATTAAATCATGAGTTTTGATGCTAAATTGTATCAGCACTTCGATTACAATGTGTTCGGCCCCGCCATATATTAAATATTTAGTTTTTTGTATTCAGTGAGGCTAGACCTGGGCCGTACATGCAACATATTATGATTGGTCTTGATGCAATTTTGCATCAGAAATCTTGATGTAATATTTTTTTTCCCCTTACCTATGCATGAAAATGTGCATTTCACTTATTAAGAGTTAAAATAGTGGCAATTTTGATGCCATGGGCATATGCTTTATGCATAAAAATGCGAATGTTTAGGTGTTAGATATATGAATGCCCTAAGAATTTATGTGCTATGCATGTTTTCCTCTTTATATGTTGCTTTACGCATGTATATATATATATATTATTAAAAGTGCTACTAATGTAAAATTTTTAAATATAATTTGATTAAATGATTGACATCGTTTGATACAACAAATAAAATCAGTTAAAAAAAAAATAAAATTTTTTTATTATTAAATTTTATCATGTTAATTATTAATTTTGCACGTCTTGGCAAATTAGACTATAAAATATTTATTTATAATATGTTTCAATAATAATAATAATAATAATAATGCCCATTTTTTTATTTATTTAATTTTTTTAGTTCTGGTCTTTGATTTATTATTTGAGATTTTTACATAGTAATAACAACTTAAAATATTAAATATAACATTTTAATCATTCAAAATTTAAACATAAAAATTTAACAATTTAAAAATTTCACGGCCACGGCCTTCAATAATAGATAAAAGCTTTAAATAGCAGATAAGATAAAAAATGTAACATTAGGTGCACTTTTATGAACATTCGAGTCAGCTGCATAAGCCACGGGCCCGTCGCAGTGATCAATACTGCCCTGTCTATCAACCCCCCTGCTACAAACTCATAAATCAATTTATTTAACATTAAATATAAATAAAAATATATTTTTTACTTAAAAAATGAAAACATAAATAAACTTTAAAAAATAAAAATAAATAATAAACAATAAGCATGATCCAAAACGACTTCTTCTGGCTTCATTCACAAGCATGATCTAAAGAAATACCTTGTGCATTAAGGACACAAATAGTTGGTCTGGTTGATCAAAAATTTGCTCCTGTATCTGCAGAACTGCAAGTTTAGATGGGTCACAGAACTGGGCAGCATTGCAATTCTAACATTTCTTTATGGAGGCACTCCCAACTCTTATGTATTTACATGTCTAACATCTAAAGTATACTTTTTTTTTTTATATTTATATCATCCAAATCTTTTACACCATATAAAAAATACCCCAATTTTTAACTTTTAAAAATGAAATACACATTTTCATGCATAGAAAATGTGGCTAAGATAGGGAAGGTGGCATTTTTGTAAAAAACTTAAAGTTTAGGTGCTACATATATGTGTTATGTAGGTATAAAAATTCAGAGGTATGTATGTAATAAATAACAAGTTACTAGGGGCTTCATCAATAATGAACTTAGCTACTTGTTTTGAACTCAGTTCATTATGATAAAGTGAAAATCTAAGAACAAGATTTATATAGATAATGTTTAATAGGTTATATCATGTGTTTCCCATTAGGTTGAAACATAAGATTGCATAACTCATGGGTTTTCCTTTTTTAGGAACAGATTCAGCCGCCTTCGCCTGCCGGACTTACTTGTAGGAGTTATTTGTCGATCCCGTTAGCTCGGGTGGCTTGTCGAGCGTGCTCTCCATAATTGATCCTCGAGATTTACATACAGGTGACAAGAATGAAATCATGCAAGTGTAGATAGGCATTCGTGTCTATTTAAAAGACGCCTGACATCTACATCGGCATCTTCTTGCAAGAACATTATGGACGAGCCTCGGATCATATTGTCGATATTTTGTTATTTCCTTTTTCTCCTTATGCCAGGGGCAAGGATTGGTGGCCCAAAGAGTGTGAGATATAAATTTAGGTACACAGACTTTTGGGGGGGTGGATCGACTATCATCCTCTCCTCTCTGGTTCTGTATCTAATCGAAAGTTAAGAACTAAGGATTGGGGAGGGAATTGCCACTACATTCTTTTCTTCTTGAATGTTCTTCCCAGAACAATGTTGCTCTCAGTTGTATAGACTCATGAACAATACAAGACCCTACGTTTTAAAAAGACTTCTAACATTATGGTTTTTCAAATCGAACTCTTCTCTTTCATATTGGTAAAATTAAAGAAAGTGAAACAGATATAAGATATAGGCACATTTACATGCATCCCATACAATTCTTATGTATTTATATATCTAACACTCAATGTTTGATATTTACTCTCATAACATCTAGGTGCCAAAAATTTATGCAAGTAAAAGTGTATTTCACATTTTAAAAATTTAATAATTTGGTGATATTTGTGATGTGATGTTAAAAATTTGAGTCATATGTTTGTAATTATGAATGTTAAGGTGTTTTAGAGTATAAATACATACAAACTGTGGTGTTTGTATGTATATACCCCCAAGATTTAAAAAAAAAAATTGGCTGAGGTTAATCGGATTAACTTTTGGATAGGGTTGAGCACTAAAATCTTAAACTGTTTAGTTTTATTTTAGTTGAATCCGGGCTGGCGTCCAAACCCGAATTTAACTCGAATTTGATTAAAAAATGGTTGTTATGCATAAGGTTAAACTAGTTATGTGGTCGAGTTTATGTTAATAGAGTTGATTGTCTATTAGGTTCGAGTCACACACTCCCACTTATTTTAAAGTAGGTCATTACGTAGGTCATGCAAATTCAGGTGGAGCGAAATTCAAATCAGACTTCAACCTAACTCGCTAATTTGAATCAACACAAACTCACAATCATAATACGAGCCAAGAGTTGGATGATTAATTTGTTATAGAGTGCCCCACTTTCACTGAATCCCTCCTAATCTTTTAGGGTTGGAAGAAATTTCAGAGTCTTTCTCCTCAAATCATGGCTGAAATGAAGGTTCCCAAAAGTAAAGATATAATTGGGAAGATTTACATACATACCACTCAATTTCTATGTATTTACATATCTAACATAAAAAACTTCAATTTTTTTACACATGGCACTTCATTTATGCATAAAAAATGTGTATTCACACTTTTAAAAGTCAAAATAGCATTATAAAGATTTTGATGGTATAAATGTAAAAAAGTGAAGTTTAGATGTTAGATTTATAAAAATATAGGAATTGGGTGGTATGTATGTAAATGCCCTTAAAATAGAACAAATCAAATAAAGCGACATAGAAAATAAATTATCTTGTACAGCTGTTAACATAGAGGCTCATAATAATCATAAGAAAAATAAATAACTCAAGAAATTCTAAGAAAATCAGATAAAATAAATGTAGCTAGTTAATATAAATAAATTTAAATTATTAAATCTTAAAATTTAATTATCTAATAAAATTTAAATTTATTAAAAATAATTTATTTAAAGAAATATAATCCAAGAAAATGTAAATTTTACATATACTATTCAAATTCTTATTCGCATGCCAGCAAGAAATTTATATGACCATGCATGATTCTTGATGCATTTTGGGTTCGATTTTTTTCATATTCAATTCATCATTTGAGAAGAATCCAGAGATAATGCAAGAACCTTGAGGTTTAAGCAAGAAATGTTCAAAGTTCAATTAAAAATTATTTAGAAGTCCGATTTTAAAAAACTTACAGTTAAAACGGTCAGCATGACAACAAGATAAACCCAATGATACCAAAATTGATTCAAAGTTGAGCCAAATCAAGCCCATATTAAGCCGTTAAACACATTTAGAAGTTTTCAGTGTGTAATTGAAAAGTCAAATAGATTTTCAAATCTCACAAACTTATAATCAAATCGAGCTTCTCGATGAGGCAAATCCAAAAAGCATAGAATCTCTGAATTATGACATCATTAAGACACTTAAATATTCATCGAACATCATCTGAATAAGGCAATTTCTTTGAGTGGTCAGATGGTGTAGTCTGAATTCTTTTCTTAATTGCAGAAAGGCTTCTACCAAACTCTATAAATAGATTCCCACCCTCTGCTTGAGAGGGGATCTAGAGGGGATAAAAGCTTGTTGTTGATACATCCAAAAAGCACAGAAGAACATTGAAGCTGGGAGAATGAGCTGAAGTCTAGTATTACTTATGCATCGAAGATTAGGTGAATACCTCCCGCTTTTGCAACCATGAAACACTGTCAACCACCACCTGCTTACCATCGTCGACTATAGTCGGTTGCCCTCTACTCGCTTCAACAAAAATCCATATGTTGTGTTGTGAAGTGAGAAATAAAAATCAACGTCGCATCATCCTAAACGTCGTGCCAACCTCAAAGGCGGTGTATCGAAGCTCTAGTAACTACTTCCTATTGCGACCGCTCAATGTCGTGGGGCAACGAGCTCTTCTGTGCACAACCATCTTAACATGAGAAACCGTGTAACCCTTTTCCTCCTATAGAATAAGAGTCTGCACGTGTTATCAACAAGTCATAATGAATCATTTCCATTAAGCTAGGACCCGTGATTTTTTTTTCTTTCTTGATTATCCACAGAAAAACTTTTGGTGTTTCGACCATTTACGTGTGTGTTAATTTTTTTTACAACATTAATACGACAATTCCTTATTCTACCACCACCAATTCTCTGTTAGAATTTCAACAATGTTATAGTTAAATAGAGCACCTCGATAATAAACGTCTAACGCCACTAAAATCAATTCAATTCAAGTCCAAATCAGCCCATATCAAAAACTTGAAGGGTAATATGAAGTTTTGGGGCATTAACTAAAAAGTTAATTGATCGAAAAATTTGGCATGATTATAGTCAAATCTAGCGGCACAACGAGTGGAATCTAACAAGTCCAAGAACATTTAATTTTAAGATTGTTAACACGCTTGAATATTTTAAAATTTGTCATGCAATTCAAGGAATCAAAATAAAACCATCCGAAGGATCGTTTTAGGAAGTTGGTTAATGTTCGAATCAAAAAACCC